GGGGGGGGAGGAGGGAAAGGCGCACCAGCCTCTGCTTCTCTTCTTTCGGCCCCCCTCCTGCTCCTTTCAGCCACCCCCTGCAGGCTTCTAAGTCACTAGTCCTCGGTCTCTTCAGACCCCCAAGGCCCACCTTTCCTTGCAGCAGGCCACGTACTTACCTTGTTTCCCCCAAAATAAGACCTACCCCCAAAATAAGCCCTAGCAGGATTTCTATGCATTTGTGGTATAAGCCCTAATGTGTCTTCTTGAGAAAAAATAAATATAAGACAGTGTCTTATTTTCCGGGAAACACGGTAGCAGACGACCCTGCCACATATGGGGTGGAAGGTACCCAGTTTGGCAGCCCTGTAGGAACGAAACCGTCCCAGTGAAATGGCCAAGCTGAGGATATGGTACTTTGTCATGTTGTGAGAAGGGAAGAGTCACTGGAAAAGACAGCAATGCGAGGAGAAGTGGGAGGCGGCAGGAAAAAGAGGAAGACCCGACGTGAGATGGATGGACTCAATCGAGGAAGCCACGGGCCCTCGGTTTGCAAGACCTGGGCAAGGCTGTTATCCAGAGGCCATGTTGGAGGTCGTTCATTCATAGGGTTGCCGTAAGTTGGAAGTGACTTGACAGCACAACACAGTTTTGGCTGGCAGTGACCTCGGTAGCCTATGCTAGCCTGATGTCAGAGCTCAGAAGCTAAGCAGTGTTGGCCCTGGTTAGTACTTGGATAGGAGGCTGCCAAGGAAGTGCAGAGTTGCTATGCTGAGGCAGGCAGTGGCAAAACCACCTTTGAATGTCTCTTCCCTTGAAGAAAAAGAGATTGGATTTCTACCTCGCCCTTCACTTGGAATCTCAGAGCGGCTTACAGTCTCATTTCCTTTCACCTCCCCACAACAGACACCTTGTGAGCTAGGTGGGGCTGAGAGAGCCCTTCCGAGAACTCCTCTTGGGAGAACAGCTCTGAGAGAACTTGTGACTGACTCAAAGTCACACTAGCAGCTGCATGTGGAGAAGTGGGGAATCAAACCTAGTTTGCAGCAGGGTTGCCTTTACAGAGTTGCCATTATGGCAATAAAGGAGTTTTGGCCAGGGTTTACCTTGTGTTACATCAGCCTTGACTTTCCCAGTGGATGAATGGTGGGTTATAAAGATCATAAACTTTGCAGGGTGCTCAGTATTTGTAATGCTTCCAACATTGTCCTTACAACAGCCCTGTAAGGCCAGTATTTTTTTTCCCTTGGAAAGGTGTGTGTGTCTTGAAATTGGGATACTTTAAAAATTATATAGCTTTATTTTCCTGCTTTTGTTTCGAGAGTAACTGAATGGAATTTAGCGCTAGCTTTCTTGTACACTTAATAGGTGCATAAAAGAATGATGCTTGGAAGGGGCAGCTTATCAAACAGACAGAGTACTTTTATACAGCTGCTAAAGTGCTGTTGGCTTATCAAAAAGACTGCCCACCCTGCTAACAAAAATGGTTACATTGTATCATGATGTTGCCATGATCCACTGTAAGAGTGGTTTGTTTGTGGAAGATTAAGGTAGGTAAACTTCCAGTTGTCATGGGTAGTTGGACTTATATTAATGCTGCCTTTCAGGAAACAATAAAAGTCTCAGGCACTGAAGGGTTCAGTGGCCCTGTTTTGGAAACAACACTTAGCAAAGGCTGCTGCCATGTCTTCCTCCCTTTTGGGTGTAAAGGTGTTTCCCAGCAGGAGCTTTTCGGATTATAACATCATTCATTAATTTGGGTAAATAGTGGTGCTTCTGGAATTGGAGAAAAAAATTGCTTGTCTGTAAACCATATGTTGGTTTTATGGCTTGCTCAGGATTGTTAAGACCATTTGTGTGATGGTATATGAACTGAAGTCTAGATCCAGTGTGGCAGCCACTGCACATATATAAGTCCAGAGGGTGGCTGCATTTTGAGGAAGCGCGCACCAGTTCCTGAAAGCTGGACTAAATGCTGTTAGGCTGTAAGGTGTTACTGGACTTCAGTTTAATTTTATTGCTTGTATAGGCTCCTGTAGTAGTGGGCGTCCTAATGAAGTTTTACGGTCCTTCAAGTGGTGCTTATCTTTTGGATGGTCATCTTGTCCTATACAGGTCACCTCAAGGTCAGTTTTAATGATTCCATCTGACAGTCAAATTTAAAGCATACTTTTTGAAAATCAAGTCCTGTTGAACTCAGTGGGACTTCAGCAAGCATGTTTAAAATCAGGTAGAGTTCTGTGGCAGATGAAAAGAGATCCACAACCAGTTTTTTTCTTCTTCTTTGGAGTTGCTCTTGTCTTCTTGGAGAGCCCAGCTGCGCATCGGTGAGTGTGTGTGTATCTATGTACTTGGTTTTGAGACACACCCCAGTTTGCTTCACTTTGCTGGGCATAATCTTCAGAGTTTAGGGGTGTATTTGGGGTGCTTCAGAGCTTATTTTGAGGTTGCAGTTGGGATGCAGCCATCTTTGCAGTGCAAACCTCCTGTGATTCCTAATTTCCCCTCCCCTTTGAAGCTCTTGGCACCAATACTGGGGTCTGGTCAAAAGCCCACCTTACAAGTCAGACAAAACCTGTGCTTGTGTGAGGTTTGGAGTGTTTTGAAGCTTATTTTAGACTGAGGAGCTTTTTAAAAATGTGTTTGTGGTTGGGCTGAAGAATAAGGACCTGGGGATCAAATTCAGTCTCATGGAGAAGAGTCTTTGAGTGCCTCTTTATCTAGTTCTCTGTGTCTGGCTTTGAGACTGAAAATTGCAGGTGCTAATTCTTAGGATGGTAATGGCTGGCAATATATTTTTGTGCCATTCTGGCTATCTCCATGATTGCAGTTTTGCTAGTTTTCATTTGTAATCTGTTGCAGTTGTTCTTCTGAAGTAGGCAACTCACCCAGTTAATGCATCATTAGCACTTAAATTTTTGTAAGCATAATTGAAAATAAGCCTTTAAGGTATGATCTGTTAACCTTTGAATACTAATTATGTTAGTCCTCTTCTGTGTTGACAGAAATCTGCGTTAGATTGGTAATGAGGGATAGTGCAGTTCATTCACTTTGCTGGGTTTTTTTTTTAAACTAAGTAGATTATTAGCAGTTTTGTTTACGTTACTTTACAAATCTTTAACTGTACTTTAATGTAGCTAATATGCATTAATAGGTTACTGTGAAATGATATGGCCAAAATTAAGCACAAAATTTAAGTTTGTATTCATTTGAAACATTTCTGCGCTACCTTTCCATCCAAATAGGGTCCCATTGTGGAGTAGATCAAACGTTAAAACATTTCAGCATTAAAAAAAACATTTAAAATAAAGTGTACATATATACATACAAGAGTTCAATAAAACAATAACTCAGTTGAAGCATATAAGCTTGTATAGCTTTAGAGGGAGTTGCACTTCTCTTAAAGGAGCAGGTTTGTACCTTGGGGGTGCTCCTGGACCCAGGCCTCCTGTTGGATAAACGGTGGCCAGGGGTGTCTTTCAGCAGCTTTGGCTAGTGAGTCAGTTGTGGCCCCTCCTGGATGCCACCCTTCTAACTCAGAGGGCAGGGCACCCAAAGCAGGGCCTCCAAAGATGACCAGAGTGTGTGGGTGGTTTTCATAAGGGAGAAGGTGGTCCTTAAGGTATGCTGGCTCCACATTGTATACAAACTGAGAGCTAGTGTGTAGACAAAACAAGATCGGAGTGATCTGGTGCGTATGACCCACTGCAGTCAACATTCTTGTCCCAGCATTCTATATCAACTGTACAGTCTTCAAAAGTAGCCCCACTTGGAGCCCACTGATGAAGCTAGTGAAAGGCACTTCTGGCCACCATTGCCACCTGTTTATTCAGTAGGAGTCCCAGATCTAGGAGCATCCCCAAGCTACAAACTTGGTCCTTTGGGGGAGTGCAACCCCATCCAGAACAAGAGAGAACCCACTTCCTAAGTCAGACTTTCTACCCCCTGCTAGGTATGTCCCAGTGAAAACACCAGGGGGGATAGAAGTTCTAAACTTTGGCTTGATTGTGTTAAATGAAAATGTTACCTTGGGTTCAATTGTAAGCAGTTGTTAGAAACATGTAGAACTTTACTAGAACTTTTGAATAATATGTATGCATGAGAT